TTCAAATGAATAATTTATACATATTCAATAGATTTAGACTAAAGTTACATACATATTATTGCAGGATCTAGAGAATGCGTTAAGTGAATCAAGAGCAAAATGGAAAATAGTAGTAGGTCATCATGCCATTAGAAGTGTGGGACACCATGGTGACACTAATGAACTTGTGGAACGTCTTCTTCCTATCCTTAGGGTAATAAACTTGTTCGAATTTGACAATTTTTTACATTACAAAATTTTAAATTTTCACCAACATGTAACGTTTTTTTTTTGTTGGATTATGAAATTCCAGGCATACGATGTAGATCTATACATGAACGGCCACGATCATTGCCTTGAGCACATAAGTGATACCGAAAGGTAAAAGTTAAAGAGTTAGAAATCCGTCAAATTATTGATTTTGTTCTCGAACTATTGATAATCTTAAAAATACTTATTTACTAGACTAACTAAACTTAAGTTTAAATGCACCCTCGATTTGCCACATGACATGGCAGGTGGTCTCAAACTCTTGTAGGAGCATTAGACTCTTAATAAAAAAAACTGAGATAAGTGTTGAAAATATCCTTAAACTTGACGAGAATTTAAGAATGTATTTCACTCATGTTGAAAGATTGGGTGGGATGTATTTTAAGTTCAGTTAGTCAAATAAATGAGTGTTTTTAAGGTTATCAATAGTTCGGAAATGAAACAAATAATTCATGCCGAGTTTAGATGATTTTTAATACTTCTCTGAATTATCAAAATAAACCCTCCGGCCTGGCTCAAATAGTTTGGCTTAGGACTTCACAGGGGTCTCAAGTCCGAAACCTCTTATCTGCACTAGTAAGGCCTAGGGGTTGACCTTATGAACAGAGCTCGTCGCACGGGGCTTGCCAGATATTTTTTGTAATTCTAATCCAATTTTGGTTTAATTGCAGCCCGATCCAATTTTTGACTAGTGGAGCAGGATCAAAGGCATGGAGAGGAGACGTAAAAGGTTTGAAAAGAGAAGATATGAAATTCTTCTATGATGGACAAGGTTTCATGTCTGTCCAATTGACACCAACACATGTAGAAATCGAATTCTATGATGTTTTTGGCAAAGTTCTACACAAATGGAGTAGGTCTAAGCAACTGCATCACATTGTTATTTAGATTTTTTGAGAAACGCGCAGAGCGTACGTAGATTAGAGTAGAGTACTCGGCTTAATTTTAAGTGTAGCTACTATAGTCATATATGGATGAATTGAGGAATTCGTCCATACTCTCGGTGACTTTAGTGATCCTGAAAGGTGAAAGTAGTATGTCGTATCTACTACAATGTTTGAGAATCTCATTTTGTGTAAATTATTGAAGATTTTTTAAGTCTCGTGTTAATACGGGTCTAATAAATCATATTAAAAGTGGCTTTATGTATTTTTTAAGTTTCAATTTATACGACATGTTTTCTTATTTAGTCCGTCTAAAAAAATGGCATTAGTTTCTTATTTAACAAATGTAAAATGTGTAATCAATATTTTATTCATGTTAAATCCTATTTATTTGACTGATGTGTTTTTTTACAAGCATAGACATTGAAATTTCGCAAATACACTTGATATGAGTAGGCACATTGGCAAAAAGAGTTGAAATTTTAAAAATACTCTCGACATGAAGCAAACATGTTGACGAAGAGGTATCTGCTTCAAACCTCATATTAGTATTAAAATATGAATGAATTGAGAAATTTGTCCATACTCTTAACATTACTGAATCAAACACTCACCAATTAACTAACTTACGAAAATTCTCATCACTCACCGATCAACTAAGTTACTAAAATTCTCGTCGAAATGTTAGATCTATCATTTGTTGCATGTTAATTTCCAAAACTACCCATGTTCTGATTTCTGACCACTCCTTTGGGCTTCGGACTCGAGAGTTCCATAATATGACGGTTGGGCCCCTTCTTTTTTTTCCTTGGTGTCCCTTAAACCCACTTGTCACTTTTTGTGTGGAGTTTTTGTAGTCAAATCAAAGTAAAATTTGAATATTGATACGTTAGGGAAAATACTATTAAAAGTAAAATTTCAACAAATTAACTTTGCAAGAAAAGAATTACTTATGCTGAAATAACATAAACTTATTACATGATTACCTTAAAATGTAATTTGATGACTTTGTTTGCAAGAATAGACACATCCCCCCTTATAAGAAAAGAAAACAACTAATTGAACACAATATAATCAAATGCATTTTTTTCCGAAACATTATAATTTGATTTTATAAAACAATTATAGTAAAACATTAGCAATAAAATGTACATTTATATTACTTTAAAAATATGAAGATTTTTAGAAATATTGTGTGTATCCTTTCTCCTACAATAAAATATTTTATAATATATAAAATTATTATTTTAATTTTTTATAATCCCTATTTATTTAAAATTAAGGAGTTCCAAAATATATGATAAAAGAAACTATTTTAAAAGGAATCCGAAAACATAATAGTAAAAGTAAACAAGCGAGTACTGAAATATATGATAAGAAGGAAATATATTTTGACCAAAATGCATCATAAAAAGATAAAAAGCAGAACAAAATCACGTAAGAGAAAATTAGGAATTTTGTCATCATTGTGGCTTAAAATTTGGCATAGAAAAGCCTTCGTGTTATTTTTTTGGGCAGGCATACATCTAATAGCTCAAATATATTCTTTTAGGAACTAATGACAATATAGCATGAACTAAAATTTGTCCTTATATTACCAAATATTGAGATTCTTTTATGTTATTGGTAGAAATAACAATTCATTCCTGATCTAATAATTTTTATTAGCTTATATTAAAATTTATATAATCTCATGCTCATAATTGTAATGTATTTTCACTCGATGTTTATTGTGTGATAAAGACGTGATGAATTTTTTTGCTTAGATCAAAATATGTTAGGCATATAAATTCCAGCCAATAAATTCAAGAGTAAAAGCAAGTATGCCAGGTATCAAAATGACAATTAGGTGTCAAATAGAACTACTGAGTTAATAAATCTCAATTTTTTTTTATATAAATTATAATTTTTGTATATTGATATACTAAAAATATACTTTATAATATTAATCAAAGAATATATTATTGATTTTTAGAAAAAACACAATGAAGTACTGTTTAGTCAAAAATGACGATGACCACGAAAGTTTCCTAAATCGAGTTAATTGGTCACGTTTCAATGTACTGGAAGAGTCGAACCAAATGACCGGTTCTCCAAGTCACCTTTATCTTTTAAGTTACGTACCAATATAAACCACTCGTCAGTCAATAAACGCCATGTGTTGCGAGCAAATTTACTGTTAATGTCAAAGAAATATTAAAAATCGAATCTAATCAAATCGAGTTGATTCATGTTATTTTCTAAAATAAAATCGTGAAATTTTATGTAAGTGTATAAACGTTCCAAACAATTGAAATGATCTTTTTAATTTATGAAAAAAAAATTAAAAAAAATCGAACCGAACAGAATAACCCAACATGTATGTAAATATATTTTATATATTAACAATATGTTAAATCTAATATTATATTGTAGTTTTTTGATTTTTTTCATAAATTAAAAAGACCATTTCAATGTTTGGGACGGTTATAACTTAGATAAAAGTCCACAAGTTTATTGACAAAATGACATAAATCAGTTCGATTAGATTAGATTTGGTCAGTTCAATCAATTTTTCGTACTCTTTTGACACCCTTAGCTATGACTTGTTTAGAAGTTTACTCCAGCCTATCGGATTTATTTTAATAAAATAAAATAAATATTATTTTAAAATTAAATTATGATTTCTCTTATTTTAATTTATTATAACTACTTTTCTTTTTTAATTCAATTCAAAAAATTATTATATCCTTGTTAGCAATTTTGTAAAATTCCAATTTTTTTTCACATTTCATATTTAAGATTATAAGATTAAAGAGTATTTTGATATATTTAATATATTTTTAATTTTAAACCGCAAGATATAAAATCCTTCTTGCTTAAGTTTTGTATCAAATCAAACGAATCAAATAAATTAATATGAAGAACGTACTAAATATATAAATGGAGAAACTATATTCCATAAATATTTCTACCTTTTTCGCTAATTCACTTCATAGTTTGTGATAATTATATTTTATCTCACTAATTAATAATTTCATAACATATTTTAAGTCAGATTACATCTAGATACATATTTTTGCTACTAAATACACTGAAATAGGGAGAGAAGCGAGCAAAAATGATCTATATTCAAAATACTTGTGAATCACATTAAATACATGTATCTGTGATGGTATTCCAAAAACACGAGCGAGATGAGAGAGAAGTGATGGATATGAGCGAGATTTGTATATGTATTTCAGATACATGCAATTATTATTTTTAAATACAGTGTATCTAAACAAATTACACATAATTTTCATTTTATGTATCTCGACGTATTTTGATACACCAAAATCTAATAAGATTCATAATATTACAAACTAAGATGTATCTAAATAATTAGCTTCTAAACTAATAAATTACCCTATATAAATATATATAATTTTTTAATTTGAATTGATTTTTATCTAAACAGTAAAGGTTGGTGAGTTTTATTAATTGTATTACTCCATCCATTTTAAAAAGAATAATCAGTTTGATTTGAAACGGAGTTTAAGAAAAAAAAACTTTTTAATTTTATAATTCTAAATTAAAGTTATGTTAAATATATCAAAATGTTCTTTAATCTTGTGACCTTTTAAACAGTTCACATGAAAAGTTAAAGTTAAAATATTATAATTTTTTTTTTTTTATTTAAAAAAAGACAAAATAGGAAACTAGATCATTCCTTTCGAGTGAGGGAGTACTGTTTTACGAAAGGAAACGAAAGCGAAACCAAAAACAAGATGATATCGCCGCATATGAGAACATGTGTTGCGTCGACACGTGGTAGTATCTTGTACCGCTATTTTGTAGCGTAGTTTTCTCAGCCATTATTTATTCATCACTTGTCGGAACCTTAAAGGGGAAGTGGTGGCTGAAACCTTTTGCCCATACCCAAGGAGAAAAAAAAGAAAGAAAAAAAAAACATCATCTTCATCCCCTTCAGCCTGCCCAACTTCTCTCTCTTCTCTCAAACACTTCTGCTCATTTCATTATCAAAAATTTCCGTATTCAACTTTGCTTTTTCCACAAACAAAAACCTTATCTAAATTAATTTTTGAATTTTGTTTGTTCATCTGAATTTTACTTTACATTTATATGGTTTGCTTGACAAGTCAAAAATTGTGCGAACCCAAACGATTTGAATCACATTTCGTACCATATTTTAACGCAAAACCAAAATTAAATTTGAGGTTTAGAAATTCGGAGGATTTTCCTGAATATTTATCCGAGTTGAAATTGAAATTGTTAGCGTTTGGGACTAGAAGAAGAAGAGGAATTACAGCAGCAATGGCGGTCGAATTAGTGAAATCGAATGAAGCAGCAACGATTATATTGACGTCAGGTGCAAGCGGAAGAATCAGTGCCTTGTTTTCATTACAGGTATTGAGGAGCTTGTTCCTTTTGATCAATGCTTTTGTATTGCTATTGTTGTTTCCATTTCGTGGACGGAGGAGGATGGCGTCTCCGGCGACGATGATGGCGTCGTCGGGGTCGCAGGAGAAAGGCGGCATTGGGAAGGAAGAAAAGGCGGTGGAGAGGAAAGGTCCGGTGGTTCGAGTGCCGTCGAAAATGGTGCCGCGGAAGAGCGTGGTGGAGCAGGAGGTGGCGGCGAGACGATCGCTGGCGATAAGAAGGGTACTTCAGGAAGACGATAAAGAAACGCTGAGGGAATTTTCGCTGTTTGTTACGTCCAGAGGAGAAACTATGTTCACGCAATCATGGACACCTGTTTCCTTCAAAGTCAGGTAAATTCATCAGCTCCAAATCCCTAAATGAAATTGCCTTTTATCTTGTCTTTACTAATTTACGTGACACATTTTTTAATTTCGAAATTTAAACAAATTTAGGTATGATGTAAATTTTGCATGTGTTTTTAAATATTTTAAATTATCACTTACTTTTATGTTGGTCAAACTTGAATTATTTGACGGAAAACGAAATGGGTCGGCCAGAAAGGAGTAAATTATTTTGGCTATAACTTCTAAAATATTGCTAAAATTGGAATGTATTTTATTATTAAATTTTTGCTGAAAGATTACGCAAAATTAAATAGTCATATGCAAAACCTGTAGTATACTTTTTGGGATTGATTACACGTTATGATCTTTTATTATTCTCCAAGTTTTTATTTTGTTTGATAACCTAATTGTCGGTTGACGTTTCTGGAAGGTACCAGGAAGTTTGAATACATTTCTCTTGTTTTTTGTGTTTCCATTTCTGCCCTCGTTATTTTCTTTGTTGTGAGCTTCTTGCTTTCCACGTTGCTGTTGGATAAGACTCTTTTCTATTTTTGCATCCTGCGATCGCTTCTTAATAAAAACGATTCTCTATTCAATAGAGTTTGAGTTTAAAATTTCTGATTTAGGTGTGTGTGGTTGAGACAATTTTTTTTTCTAGAAAATATTTTTTAATTTTCTCATGTTTAGTTGATTCAAATATTTTATCTAAGAAAATAAGGTCGTTAAAAATGAGGAAAATGATTTCTCTTATTGGAGTAGCGAAAAACAAGTTCCATAAGCATCTTCCAAATTCACTGTTTCCTCCCCATCCGACTAATGTTCCAACCTAACGTTCCCAAACCCGTTTCTCGACTATTCCACCCCCTCCAATCTCGAACACCCACTCCCCACCCCAAAAAACTTTTGCTAGATTTGATATAAATACTTTGGGATATTATTTTTTATTTACTTATCAAACGCGAAAAAAAAGAAGAAGTAAGAAATTCACTTGTTTTTCGAATAGAAAACATTTTCCTCCTCCCAAACACACCAGTACGAATTTAACCACTATCACAGTTCATATTAGTACTGTTGAATAAGATTACAAATTAGTGGACTGAATAGCTCTTGACAACTAAGTTGCATGGCGATTTCTCCAACTGCTTAGGAAATGCAGATATTTTGTAAAAAATGTGTGATTTAAGATTTAATTAGAAAGGAATTTTGATATCTTTAAATTTCCACCATCCAGCAGAGCTTAGAGCCATCCACACAACTTTATTCTCCTTGTTTTAACCGTGCTGTGAGTGTGACAGCTCAGTTACATGTACTAATTAATAGTGGGAATGGGACATTTTGTTGATGTTACTACTCATAATTCTGTTTGTGGCGATGACTACAATATTCTGATGCTTCAAAATTTAACAGTCTACTTTTAATTAATTACCTTAGAATATTTACTCAAACATTTTTGTCTTTGTGCTGAAAAAGTTCTTGTTTTTATCAGATCCTTAAAAATTTTGGAAGTAGTAAATTGAATGTGACTATTTTCCATTTGAATTTCATTTATGTGTATTTTTTCGAACAAATCTTATCTTAATAAACACACACATTCTTTCAAATCTAGGAGGAAAGAGATGTTAATGAGTGTCATAAGTAGTTGAAAGAGGAATATTGCAGCCACTAGCAGATTTTGATAGATGGTGGTCCTTAGAGTGGACCGATTCCCGAGAATCCCACCACCCAAGTCACTAGTGATGGTATTTTCTGATTATTCTCTGTGTGGTAGCCATGGGCTTAATGGGAGCTACCACTTTTTTTTTTTGCATGAGATGCCAAAACGTGGCAGCTGTTTTCAAAATATCTCACAAAGTTTAATTTGGCTCACATTTTATATTAAGAAATGATCGAAAGAGACATCCTGTGACTAGTATTTATGTTTTTTTTTCACTAACACAAGCATGGATATAATATCCTAGTCTGATTAAAGGGAACTCCCTTAGTATCAATGACTTAATTTATGTCATGATGTTTGGTTGAACATGAAGTTTAAAAATGAAACATAGACTTTTGAAATTTGTGATTTAAGACAAGTCGTAGTTATTGGTGTGATTATAAATTATTTCATCAAGGATAAAATCGAGTGTTTTAAGCTAAATTATTACTATATAGAAATATGTCATTCTTTTTAGGCGAACTAAAAATGGAAAAAGTATCTCAAATTGAGACCGAAGGAGTAATTAAGGGTGTCATTGAGAAATGGAGTGCATGTGTAGTCATCCGTCTTTTTATGTTGTATTCCCTATATTCATTTTTACTTGTCCACTATATTGAAAACAAATGTTCACTTTTAGTTGTCACTATTAGCATATCGAGAGAAAAAACACATTTTCCCTCATATTTTATCCTCAACATTTATTACTTATTTTTCAAAACCTAAATACTCATATATTTTTCTTAAGAGGAGTTCAAAGTCCAAAGTGGACAAATAAACGTGAATGGAGGGATTACCTGTGTAAAGACGTACATATTTAACATACTGTAAATCCTCATGCTTCAGTCTGAATATGAGTAAGGTGGTATATGAATACTCCTTATCCTTAAAGAATCCAATGGACCTCTAAGAAAATGTTGCAAAGTTACCTTCAATGACCCACTCCAATTGCCTTCTCTAGTAATAAGTTCTTCAAAGATCATGTTTTCCTTTTCCAAGTAAATAGAAGACCATGCAAAAGCATTATAATTATCTACATTGCATGTTTTGCTCCATACTAGTTTTCTGTTTAATAAAAAACTGATGATGTTAATTGTCTTGGTGCAGAGGCTTGGTTTTCTTGTTGCACGGCCTCAATGAACACAGGTTTACATTTGCCCTGCAAGATTCTTATGATTTATTTTAGTTCGGTTCAAATGTTCATTATCTTAAAGACTCTGCATTCTTCACTTGCAACAGTGGCCGATATAATGATTTTGCCAAGAAGCTAAATGCAAATGGCTTTAAAGTTTATGGAATGGATTGGATTGGTAAGTTTTGGATTTACAAAACGAATTATTATAAACCACTTGCTTTATATATCCACTGTTATTTGTAGATTCTGGCATCTAAATTCTGTTTATTTATTTTACTTGTTAATTGAATATGAGAAAATCGATTCTCATAGTTGATTAACATCCTCTATCTCAAATCAGGGCCCTTTTCTTCTATCTGTTTCTTCTCATTATGTATGTTGATTGAACTGGCAGTATGTATTGTTCATCAAGAAACTCGAGGCTTATCTTTAACTTCCTCACTCTTTCTTCTATAGTAGGAACAGTGGTTTTGTGCTTATTCTAGTTTCTATCCCTGCCAGAGATATGGCTATGTTTTTTGTTCATCTTGTTTAGTTTTCATCATAATTTATCTGAATCCTAGTCTTTATGGCTGTTCAACCCCTTTAGATTTTGTCCTCTTTAATTACGTGCCACTCTGCCAACCTTCAATTGCTAAAATGTATGCTGAATAATTTCTGGATTTCTGTTAGTTTTGCAGTGTATATTAATTATTCTGGTCATACTTTTCCTGTAATAATTGAATTCTGTGAAAATGACATTAATCTTCTCCACTTGCTGGCTCTACAATGATCAGCTCTTTTTAATGGGAAAATATCAAGACACGCTAATACTTTCAAATCTTTCACTAGGCTATGACCTGTTGTATAGTGACAGACAAAGTGCAAGTGGCTTAAAGTATGTCTTTACTTTCTCCATTAAGCTTCTAGCTGTAGCTTCTTTGATCGTGGTTTTAAAGGGGAATATGTAGCCGGAATGAAAATGTTCCATTTCCCTCTGGGAATGGGGTGGAGGAGAGGTGAAAGGAATCCAATGATGCTTTACATCTTATAAAAACACCATCACTTCGTCCAATCTGTCCAAGTCTTAGTTGGCTGAATTACCCAGTAACTATGTTGATGGGAGGTAGCAGATACTCGGTGGAATTAGTTGAGGTGTACACAAGTTTGCCCTGATACCAACGTCATACAAAAATTATAACAATAAAAACGCATCAGTGCCAGCAGGTTATCCAAGAATTATCTTTAGCAGTCATCCATCAGTTGGCAGGCTATGAACTCGTTGGACTGCACACTGATACTTGTGCATTTACCACCAACTTGTTGGTTCTCACATAACATAGATGAGAAAAAATATGGATATCTGGGTATGTGTGAGAGTAAATCATAAAATGTTGCACTCCGTAAAGCACAGTTTTTCCAATCTCTTCTTGGTGAAATAAACTTAGTATAATTTTTAGGTGGTCATCTATCAGTTCTAAACCTGAATGTCATTTCTTCCTTTTCTTAAGCTTTGCAATTCTGATATTCATCTATTGATGAGTTTTTAGAGAAGGGAGACAAATTGATTGTTAGTTGCTGTTATTATGGTTGAAAAGTCAGTCTTCAACTATGCATCTATGTCGCATGTTGCAGGAGTTGAAATTCCTCCAATCAGCAGCCTTTGGTGCGAAAATGTTTACATGTGAAGCTCCTTTGCATAAGTAAGCTATTAAATTGAATCTCTGATTCTGCCTCTGTGCATGAAGGGATAATAGAGGGAGGAAAAGGTGCTTACAACTCCATTTTAATGCATTTTATTGGAAAAATAATTCTAATATTTTATCACGCTTTCATAAGGGCCAAGTCCTAAAAAGAAATATTTGATGTGAGTCTAAGCGTTGTTGCTGCTACCAGATTGCACTTCACTTCCTTGGTTGCACAACAATTTTGTTTTAGGGGATTGACTTGCCTCGATTATCAAAGATTAAAGGAAACTGAATTTGTTAAATGCATGACTGTGAAGAACACCTTGGGTCTATCTGACTCTTATCTATCCGTCTGAAATTTTGTCTGAGGCACCACTTCCTCTCTCTCATTGTAACCTTTGGCTAGTTCTGCTATTTATTGCTTATTAATTAACTGTGTATATTGAAACATTTTCACCTAAATGCATTTTGTAACGTGTAAATAGTTCTTTACCAATTAATAGTGTGTCTGAATCCTTTGGGAATGTCTTTTTCTGAATTTCAAGTTTCTTCTTCATGCAGGACATGGTGGAAGTGATGGACTGCATGCATATGTCCCTTCTCTTGATGATGCTGTCAATGACATGGTATGATTATTCTAGTTTTCATGAATCATGCATCGAGTAAAACAGGCAGAATGAAACATTTAAGTTAATGTTATTTACAAATTACAACTTTTCGTCCACTTTGTGCAGAAACAATTTCTGTCAAAGATTTTAGCTGAAAATCCTGGACTTCCATGCTTTTGCTTTGGACATTCGACTGGTGCAGCCATAATCCTTAAGGTAAATGAGTTTTCTGTCGTATTGGCTATTAAATTGTTAATGAAGAGTACTGTTGTTGACACTATATATCCTTCATTGATACTTGTAGGCAGCACTTGATCCAAAGGTAGAATCTAGGATTGATGGTGTTGTATTGACTTCACCTGCCGTTGGAGTTCAACCAGCTCATCCGATTTTCACAGTAAGCATTTGTTTCAAATCAACTTCCTGCTTTTGTTCTTCTCTATGAAGAAATATCTTCTGTTGGGCCTCAACATTCCTTTTTCTTAATTATTAGGTACTTGCTCCAATTTTCTCATTTTTACTACCAAGATACCAGTTCAGTGCAGCAAACAAAAGGGGTGCCGCAGTGTGTAGGGATCCAGCAGCATTACTGGCCAAGTATTCAGATCCACTAGTATTCACTGGATCCATTAGGATACGAACAGGTTACGAGATCCTTCGGATAACTGCCTACTTGCAACAGAATCTGTGCAAGTTGACAGTACCATTCCTAGTTCTTCATGGCTCCGATGATGCAGTCACCGACCCTGAAGGCTCTAAGAAGCTCTATGAAGAGGCTTCTTCAACTGATAAAAGTATCAAGCTGTATAAAGGGTTGTTGCATGACCTTCTTTTTGAACTTGAAAGAGAAGAAATCATGCAGGAAATAATCGACTGGTTGAACCAAAGATTGTCGAATTGTTAAGAACTACTATTATACAATGGTTCAATCAGAAGAAATCGGGCAGGGGAAAATGCTGAATCCGAAGAGAGTAGCAGTAGCAGTGGTGGACGGAAGAAAGTTGAGCTTGTTCAATTAGTTTTGCATGTTAAAAAACTTGGTTGAAGCCTCTGCATTCTTTAGACATTTTGTATTTTGTAAACTAATTAATCCATTATCAGTTTCTCAATCTTCTTGGAAAGGACTACTCGGAAGGCAAAATCATTTTCCCCCGCTTTTGTGAGGCAACTGTTTTTGTGAAATGTAAAAGGTGGTTTATTAATTTATTTTCATCGATTTATTCATTATCATTTTCTGCTTGATGCTGCTTTACTAGATTTGTCGTTTGTTAATTTTCTGTCTGTCATGGTGGGAGGGAGATGCTAGAACTTTTGCAAGTACAAAAGTAACTTCATAGATGAACACAAAATTGATTATGAACTGATTGTCATAGTAAAACAGAGAGTAGTATTTTATGTTATCTTAACAGCAATACAGCTGTGTAAAGACAAAGACAGAGATATGAAGAAAATTCCAGGCTGTGTAATAGTGACTAATTCATACTCAAATCTTTATTCTTTGGTGATTAAGAAGTCGTATCTTAGGCAAATAAATCCAGTTATTAATAATTGTACATTTTATGATCTTTTCTGTTCTGATGTTTGAAGTGAGAAAGCCCTTTATTTTATATTTTTGGTCATAGAGGGAGCTCCACTAAATGGTTTATATTTTTTAGGAAAAATGAAAGGAAGGTTCGACTATAGAAAAGCCAAGAATAGGACCACTTGCATTAGGGGGATTATTTAATGTCAACATTAAGAAGAAATTAATTCATGTGGGTGGTGGCATTGATGTCATGAATAATGCCTTCTACGCAACCATCAAGATCAATCTATACCGAACAATTACAGAATCAAAAATTTTCATCAATGTTAAAATATAAAGAATAAAATTTACGAAGAAGTCAAGGAGTGTCATTATATAATATTTATATAGATAGATAAAATTTATTTAGCTATACAATATAATTTTCAGATCGAAAATGAAACCAAAAACAATTTTTAATTTTTTTTTTACATGAGTTCTTTAATTCCTTCTTTTTTCCTCCCCACCTTTCATTACAATTTTTTTTTTACTTAATTAAGAGCTTGAATTACAAGTCTTCCGTTTAGAAATACCAATGGAGGGATTGAGACCTAAGCCCTAAAGGCAATAATAAGCCTCAATAACGTTCAAGCATTCTAAAAATAGTAGATTCATGATAGGCTGAATCGAAAGGTGTTAGCCAACGAGGGTTCTTAATTATAGGTCTCAAGTTTCAACTCTGTGTATGAAATCGCTTTTATTAGAGAGTGTTTTGTCCCAAATGTGAGACTTTCCAGTGGAATTCAAATTTGATCGGTCCCTAATATGAGTACCAAACCCCTGATGAAAACCTAACCACTATTAGATTTTTTCTTCACCTGATGAAAACCTAACCACTATTAGATTTTTTGTTCTGCATTAATGGAGCAATGAATTCCACCATAGTTTATTTGATTTATTAGGTTTGAAATCATCAATTATTTGTACTTGCTAGTTTACTATTTAACACATATACATGATTTGAACTAACACTATTTTGGATTATAAGTTGAACTCTATATTCACGCCTTGTTTAGATTTCCAATTCGATGCATGGTGAGGTATTAATTAGATTAATTCCCGACGTTTGTTGTATGCGATGTGGTATCTATGATTTTAGGCACAATTCTCATTTCATAAGTCAACTTCTAATTAAAATTTAGGCACTTCATTGGATGGTTTTTACCAATTCACGTATTTTATCATATTATTGTCTACAAAATAATATTTATTTCAATTGTTACTTAAATTTTAGTGTATTATGTCATTAAATTCATCGTTATGTAACAATAAAAAGTCTCATAAAAGTACAACCACCAATTTGGTATGTTCTTGTTGTTGTTTTCAAGCAACAATACAAATTATGCGGCATTTGATTCCCAATAGTTGAAAAAGTATTGTACTTATTTATTTAGGAAGTAATTAAATCTGGGACTTTTAAAATCTTTAATAATTAAAAGATTTGGCTAGTTAATACAAGAAAGTCGGAGAGATAGCAAAAAACAAATGCCAGATGATTTGGTTTTATTGAGCTAATTAATTCCAAAAGTTGAGTTGAAAACAGCGTGATGAATAAATAAAACATGACACTAATAATCTAATTATAAGCTAACACGTAGCTTCTATAGACAAATAAACGTTTTCCAATAGTCTTTTGCTGATTAGTCGAAAAGGTATAACCTATAGGAACCAAAATTATGCCTTTTTTCTTAATGAAAAAAAGTGAACACTTCTAGTTATAGCGCATTAATAATTTCATGCGATATATATTGCTCTTATTTAGAAATGAGACTTAGAAGGACTAAAACTGCATTATTACTCTTGTACAACATGTATATAATTTTGTTCATTACTCCTTATAGAATTATTATTATTACTCATTACTCCTTATAGAATTATTATTATTACTCATTACTCCTTATAGAATTATTATTATTACTCATTACTCCTTATAGAATTATTATTATTACTCATTACTCCTTATAGAATTATTATTATTACTCATTACTCCTTATAGAATTATTATTATTACTCATTACTCCTTATTAGAATTATTATTATTATTCATTTTACTCCTTATTAGAAGTGAGACTTTAGAGGACGAACACGACACTACTAAGTTGTATACAAAGCATTTCAAATTGTACTATAAAATTAATTGTGCCTCATTAATTGTACACGTGTCTTTCTACATATACAACAACCCACATGAAGAATTACTTTTCTGACTTTTTTCCTCAGTTTCTCTCTATATATTTGTTTTTTCCCCTTTTTTTGTACTTTCCATTCTCCCCTTTTACTCTCTCTTTAGTTAATCTTTGATATTAAATTTTTTATAGATCTTTAAAATATTTTGAATTATTAATTATTGTGACTTATAATACTTTGATATTTACGTAGTTTACAAAT